CTACTTTTATGGAGGAAATTAGGCATTATATGAAAGGTTAACATGAAATTCAACAACAATGAAGTTTATGAACATTTGAACACCAGTCAAACTTCAGGATGTTCATTTGTTTGGAAAAGACAGCAAGGGAATCCAAAGTATGAGCGTTTTGAAGTTTCTAGATAAGAAAAGTAAGCAGTAACGATAGCGTTGAAGATCGAAACAACATATCCAAATATTAGTATATTAATCAGTACCTTGTTAACAGTTGGATTGTGAATAATTTCATTGGTTAACCATATTTTCTCATCAGGAAATTGTTTTCTCGCTTCATAAGCAATCTGGACTGCTCGCTCAACTCCCCAACAAAATCCATATGATTCCGCCAGTTTTACAGTAACATTCCCCACCTATATTCAAATCCATTTTCTTTGAGAGTCTTTATGATATCACCTGCAATTCGAACAAACATTAAGGTTTTTCTCTTCAATTAGTTTTTAGCCTTGAACGAAGTCAAATCGGAAGACTAAATTTCATAAGGAGCAGGTATTCTTCAGTTTTGCCACAAAATGGGGCATGCCAAAGAAAAACAAGGAATTCATAATCCTTTTCATCAATTCCATTAGAGATTTAACAAAGTCAAGACAATCGAGGCTCACTCGTATACTCGCGATTCATGAGCGCCAGAGTCTCGTCCTTGTAACCAAACCCTTTGCGATTATAATTCTCGCTCCTCGTCAAGTTCTTCCGGAACACCTTCGCGTCAAATTTGGAATCAGAAGCCACCGAAGAGGAAGAAGAAGAAGAAGAAGAATCGCCATCGCATCTCACGGACAGCGGCTTCCTGCACCGGACTGACCGAGCTCCGGCGAAACTCTCCGGCAAGGCGGCATCAGTGCGCGTGGCAAGATGATAGAGTTGCAGAGAGAAAGCCATGTAAGAGAACCGTCTGAGAACTCGATTACCAGTAACAAGCTCAGACAACGGCCATTTCTTCTTCTTCTTCTTCTTCTTCTTCTTCTTCTTCTTCTTCTTCTTCTTCTTCTTCTTCTTCTTCTTCTTCTTCTTCCTGCTCCATTTATTTCAATGCAACCGTTTCCTCTCTGTCTTCTTCACTCTTTCTCATTCTTCTTTTTTTCGTTTTTTTTTTCTTTTTTCTTTTATTAATTAAATTAATAAACTAACGTTGGAAATAATTATTCTCAAATTCTTAAAATTTTCTCTTTCATATATATATATATATATATATATATTAGTTTTAAAAATGTTTGAATTGTATATTTAAGTGAAAAGTTTCACTAAAATCAATTATTACTTTTTTTTTTCTTTTTCTTTCAAGTTTAATTTCATAAATATATTAAATAACATTTAATTTAATTTTAATATTTATACTTTCATCTTAAAATTTGTCACTCTTATTATTTTAAAGTCATGCTTACGATGATGTATGAGTTATGATACTTGATGATGTGCTTAGTATATATATATATATTGACGACGTACTTGATATGCTTGATGCACTTTATGACAATATGATAAGTATGATGATTGCATAACGTTTACCTTAATATGATGTCATATTGAGTATGCTATATGATGATGAATGTCATATTGCATCATGTCGTTAGATCGACATAAAACACAACCCTAAGAGCATGAAAATGATATTAATATAAATATCCACAAGTATGTATTACATAGAGTAACAAAGAGATGGACTAGAGGGTTGTGTCAGAAGAGACATTATTATGGATTTAGAGGGACCTCATGCATATTGTATGTTCATAAGCATAGAGCTACTTCCCCTAGAGATGATGAGTGCAGACAGGCATAGTATGATGATGAGTGCGAATGCGTACAGATGAGGGTGTTCATGAGGCGCATGACACTATGGGGTTCCGCTGACCTCCGGACGTTGCTACAGATTAGCTTGACCAGAGGATCCAGGGGGTGTGCAAGCGCCCTAGGGATTCACACTCGCACGTATGAGTCGTGTGTAGGGAAGTACTACACATCCAATTTATTCGAGACTGGAGGCCACCTATATGATGTTAGAGATAGGTCCCTAAATCATGATTGCATGTGTTTGCATTTGCATGACTCCTGTAATGAGGCCACTTACTGAGAATTCTTCTAAATACTCGGGCTGTGTGCCACATCATTTTTCAGGTAAAGGGCAAAGCGCACTTGTACAGAGGATAGCGGCATTGTGAGCAAAGACTGTGGCACGTGCATGGGGTAGATTCATATTTAAATTTCTAGGTTTAGGTTAGAATAGATTGTTATGCATTTTATTGTTTTAAATTATTTTGTATTACTTTTATTTTCTTACAGTATGAATACAGAAATATGGTAAATTACAAATAATATGGAAATACCAAGGCAAGAATAATAAATGAATACAATATATTTGCCTAAAAAAAAAAGCAAATATGGTAAGCCATAATGTAAGGCAAATATCTAGATATTTGCTTTATAATGAACGGTCAACTATCCTTAACACCTCCTGCAAGCTGAGCGTCGAATTTGAACGACCGTGAAGCTTGGATCTGAAAAATTCAAAGAGAGGTCGAGAAATATTTTTTGTGAAGATGTCAACAACTTGGAGATGAAAAGGTAGATATTGTGTGCGAAGTTTGCCGGCGATAACAAGTTCTCAAAGGAAATGATAATCTAATTCAACATATTTGGCTCGCTTGTGAGAAACGGGATTAGAGCTCAGAAAAATAGCACTCTTGTTGTCACATAAGAGTAAGGGCTGCTGTGAAATAAGAACCTTGAGGTCATGCAAAAGATGCATAACCCAAGGAAGTTCAGCAGTAGTTGTGGCAAGAGCACGACACTCAAATTCACAGCTAGAGCATGAGACAATAGGTTGCTTTTTGGCACTCCAAGAAACGAGATTGTTACCAAGATAAATAGAATAGCCGGATGTAGAACGACGAGTATCGGGACAACCAGCCCAGTCAGCATCCGAATAAGCGACTAGCGTACTAGGAACAGTGAATGGACCAAAGGTAAGACCAAAGTGGAGTGTTCCTTTGACATAGCGAAGAATACGTTTGACAACAAGAAAGTGATCTGCAGTAGGGGCATGCAAGAATTGACTGACAGAATTGACAGCATAGGCAATATTTGGATGTGTAATAGTCAAGTACTGAAGGGTGCCAACAAGAGATCTATAGAGAGTAGGATTAGAGAAAGGAGAACCATCAACAGTCAGGTGTTGAGAAACAACCATGGGAGTGTGGACTGGTTTGCTATCGAGCAACTGAGCACGAGTAAGAATATCTCGAGCATATTTTAACTGACTAATACAAAGACCATCAGGAGTGGGTGAAGTTTCAAGACCAATAAAGTAACTGAGAGAACTCAAATCTTTGGGAGCAAACTTAGAATGAAACTTGCGAGTAAAGCTGTCAACAAGAGATGAATTGTTACCGGTAACAATAATGTCATCAACATAAGAAGTAAATAGATAAGGTTAGATTGTTGATGAAAGACAAAAAAAGACGTGTGAGTGCGACTGCAAGAAAAACCAGTGTGAGAAGAAATGAGCTAAAACGCTAAAACCAGGCGCAATGAGCTTGCTTTAAGCCATAGAGGGCTTTCTTTAATAGACAAACATGAGTGGGAAATCAAGGATCAATATTCCCAGGAGGTTGTTCCGTATGAACACGTTCAATAAGAGTTCCATTGAGAAAAGTATTCTTGACATCAAGTTGTCGAAGAGGCCATTTATTTGTGACCGTAATAGCAAGCACAACACGGACAATGGTAGCTTTGACAACCGGACTGAAAGTGTCAGTGTAGTCAAGACCAGGAACTTGAGTATAGAAGATTATGAAAAGATCTCCCTCTTATTCTTTGTAATGGAATTCACTTGCTCGAGTACTAAGGTTCGAGCTTTTCTTCAGTTCACTTAAAAGCCCGTCCCTATGGAATGTGCTCTCTTCCACCATAGGCGTTTTGGGAGGTGAGTGGGTTTAATGCCTCTTTGTAGTGTCGGTCACTAGACCTTTTTGTAATTACGTTACCATGTTTTATACATTGCTATTTTTATTTGCATATTTTCGAGTTTTTTTTCTTTTTTTTTTTTACTTGAATAATTGTTGAGGTAAAAATTAGATTATCCATTTTTAAGATAGTAATTGATATCTTATTTATTGAGCTATCCTTTATACAAAAACTAATTTAAAAACTTAATGAATTTAATTTAATTTACGCTAAAGATTTTTTTTTTCTACTTTTACAAGTATTTTTATACCAACTAAAAGTAGAATAAAATAATTATTTTATTAATTATATACTCAGTTTATAATTGTCCGGCCTATTAGCTCAGTTGGTTAGAGCGTCGTGCTAATAACGCGAAGGTCGCAGGTTCGAAACCTGCATGGGCCATGTGTTTTATTTCTTTTTTCTTCTTAACTAATATGATAATATTAAATATATTAAATAATTTCACACAATTGGCCTATTATCTCAGTTGGTTAGAGCATCATCCTTACAACCGAAGGTTGCAGGTTCGAAACCTGCATCCATTTTTTATTTTCTTTTTCAATTTTTATAGTGACATTTGCTTTACAAGATTTTAAAATTATGTAATTTTTAATTTATATTTATTAAAGTTTCTATTTTTTTTAATATAATTCAATATTTAAAATTTAAAGTTTAGATACAAGAAAATATTTAATATTGTTTTTATTGCCTACACTTATAAATTAAAAATATTTGCTATCGATAAAGAAATTGGAAGTTCGTATCATGTGGTTTTATAATATAATATATATTTACCTATTTATTAGTTCAACAACCTATGGAACGTGGTTTTATAATATAATATATATTTACCTATTTATTAGTTCAACAACCTATGGAACGAGAGAATTTGAACATCTACCTTTTTAGTCGAATTTAGTGAACGTCAAACATAGACTGACATGGACGATGAGCCAAACCTTATATGTAAAAAGTACGAATTTAAAATCCCATTACAAGTATAATCCATGTTTGTTAGCTCTACTCGTCGTAGTCTTGTCCATAATCGACTCTGGTCGATGACTACAACAACGAGTTCTTGCTTTCCCTACTTGTTTTAGACGTCGCCTACTCATCTTTTCGTTCCAACCAGAGGTTAACAAGCACACCCTTTAGATTTTTGTGAAGAACAAAGAGTGAAGATTTGTATGTTCTCTGAAGTGTCAACACTCTCTTGTCTTCCAAAATTTTATGAGAGGATAAATGCATATAGCTAATAACATCTACTACTATGTCGCATATGACAAGGCCAGCAAAAACAAATTGCTACTTATTGAAGAAAGTGAAAAATTAGCATAAACGAAGAGCTTTTCAGAAGCCTGTGGATTGAATTGTCGTCACCCCCTTCCATAGTTTACATCTGGTTTAACCACAGCTGAAGAAAATGGAACTTCAATTCTCTCTTTCACAATGCACTGATGAGCTTCAACTGGAGGACATACATTGTGTGATCCATTGTTTCCAGCTGCAGACGGTCGAAAAATGTTGAAAACCTTCAAAGATGAAACTTTCCGTGCGAGCTTCGGAGTAAGACCAGTGAAGTGCAGTATGGATACAATGGCAACCACGGTAACCACTGATTTTGCAGCTACACTAGCGAAAGTTCCCAATCCGTTTCTCGAGTTCCTCGAATCCGATTTTGATTGTTTTCTTTCTGATTCAGTGAGTTCCTTTGTAGCTATATTTGTCGTGGCGTCCGTTAGCCCATTAGTCACGGACTCGTGTCCAGAAGGGAAGGGATTATCAGGATGGCTTGGATATGGAGGGAGCGTGAAATCCTTGTTGTGCTGCACTGTCTCCCTAACAAAAGCTGAAGCCTCATGTATCACTTCCAAATCCTGTCCTTCGTACTTCTTCAGCTTATCCAGTACAATCTTGCGGCTATGCTCGATCTCGGAAAGGGCTACTTCTTTCTCGTACCTTTGCCGTTGTTGTAAATCCTGCAAATTATAAGATAGAAGTATTAGAAGATTTAAATGCATGCTTCCAGTACATTACAATGTTCTATGACTCCCCCGATGCTATCTACAAACGTCGCACTCTCTAGGTCCATTATATTGGACGTACATACAAACTTTATTGCTGTTTAATTTCAGATTCATGTTGAAAATGGCTTCTAAAACTACAAGCTGAAGGTAGAGACAACATGGAGGGTCAAAATTAAGAAATCAATTAACTTCTGGACCCGAACCTGGGTGATCTATCCATAACCAGAATGAAGCTTGGGTGAAACTAAGTGGAGGTCCGAACCGACTGATGTTGAAGAATCAGCGGATGAGTTGTGGTTAGGGGTGAAATGCTACTCGAACCTAAAGCTAGCTGGTTCTCCCTGAAATGCATTGAGGCGCAGCAGTTGACTGAACATCTAGGGGTAAAGCACTATTTCGGTACGGGCCGCGAGAGCTGTACCAAATCGAGGCAAACCTTGATTACTAGATATGATCTCATAACGGTGCCTGAATACTAGTTAATTAAGAAATCAATTAACTTCTGTTGCAGGTGTTTGAGTTAAGCCAAGAGGAATAGCAAACCAATTGGTGAGCTTGCTGGTTGGTCCTAATAGATGCTTTGGTGGAGGGAAACCTATCCTCACTCTCCTTGTACTTATTGGATTATAAATATATAGAATCTTTTCAATGGGGCGGAAGATTTTGATAAATAAGTGAGTCAATATCGATCCCTTCTAGCTTTAGGGAGATTTTAGGTGAGGCCTGGGATGGAGAGGGAGTTCAAGTGGCTCTCCTTCGTCTGTTCTCCGTATATGGCAAGAATGACCGTTCTATATGAGTAGGACATACAACAAATGCTTCAATAAACCAAACAAGCTATCTAAACTAACGCCCTCCAAATTAGTATGTCATTCAGGTACACCACAAGGCATCGGATAGGATTGAATAATAAAACGATATAGGCAATCTCACCTAGATGTTTAGCATTTACACTAGAATCATTTGAAAGTTAAGAGCCAGGTTTGTGAGCATTTGATACACCTATAAACTAGATATACACAACTCAAGAGTAAAAAGATGGAATCCAGAATGCTATATGGTTCATGCCACAACAAGAAACAGTGCCTAGGAGAAATCCACATACAGTCGTAAATCGTAACGAGAACAAGCTCACGTGAGAAGTGCATAGACATATCAGAACGAGTAACAGTTTGGTAAATAACTCATACTGACTTATTGAAAGACAGATCTGAGCAATATCAATACACATGCCAGCAACGAGGGACGTTGAAGGTTTTAGCAACCCCATACGTTGCATAACCTGAAACACTAAGACCACCAGTTACAACTGCCAGATACTTGTATTAGCAAATAAATGAAATAAGATGTTCAAATTTAGAGAGAATCATACTCCCGATTCATTTTTTTACTCGAGTACCACAGTCGTAACGATGCACCTGTGGGAGGCATTGAATGAAAGTAGGCAAGATATTACAATGGAGAAGATATGAACAGAAACTTCTTTTGATTGAGTGCTATTAAACTTTACTCAATTGGAGCTTGAATAATTGCGTCATTGCTTACAAGGGTTGAGAACACCTCTATTTGTAGAGTTTAGAGAAGATTCTAAATAGCCAACATGAGGAAATAGCTATACATGAACTTGATGAGCCGTTACATATTTCAACTAGACAACTCAAGCCCACCACTAGCAGATACTTCCGGGCTTCCCCTCGCGGTTTTTAAAACACGTATGCTAGGGAGAGGTTTCCACATTCTTATAAACAATGTTTCGTTCTCCTCTCCGACCGATATAAGATCTCACAATCTACTCCCCTTTAGGGACCAGCGTCCTCACTGCCACTTTTTCCCTATAGTCCCCAACCAACGTGGGATCTCACGTAATGACATGACACAAAATCATCGCATTGGAAACAACCAGTCACTGAAAGACCGGTAAGATTTTAATATTCCAAATAAGTGACTGCTTGTACTTTTTCTTCACATGCTCCAATGACCCTTAGACTTATCTGCGTGTTCTAAATTATTCAGTATTTGAAAACACCCTCGATTGTCAGGGAGGAACAGAGGGGCAAGATCAACACAATCAAATCAACCAAGTCTATATATAAATCAAACACGGCACAGAAATTTTCAATATCATCATCCTAAAACAAAAATGCCAAAGAAAGCCGACTAAATCGAAACATATTCTTCAATCCTCATTCCCAAAACAAGAAAAGGTCAAATGAAACCTGCAATGAAGAGAGCTGATTCTCAAGAGACGCAAGCGCATCGCAGATTTTCAAAAGCCTCACTGATTCCTCATCTTCTTCCTCCGCCTCCCCACTCGAACCGACGCCATTATTTTCATCCACAGCGAACCGATCATCCCGAATGTCAGTTTCCGGCGAACTCGTGGTGTTGTTAACAGAGCCCCTGATCTTCAGCCTCAGCTCCGTGGCTCTGGCTAAAATTATAGCCGTGCCTTGTTCTTCCATGACTGAAACCGAAACCTCCAAGAGGGTTTTTGAGAGACATAAATGGGGGATTGAGGGGGACGAAAAAATGGAAGACCATGAAATGAAGGAAAGAGTCTGAGGAGCGGCAATGCAGCTGCCAAGTCTGTGGCGGGTGCTTCTTCGTTAGTTGGGATTCGAGTTTCCAGGCAAATTCAATTTTAGTGAATCCATTAAACACAAAATTAAAAATTATTTCAAAATTCAATTTAATTTTAATTTTAAATGAGTCAGTTTATCGGAATTTGTTTAATTGAATTATATCGTCATTTTGAGCCTAATTCAAATATATTGAAAAAGTTGGATGATGAAAGTCCCACCTCCCAGCTAATTTAGGAAATGATCATGCTTTTATTATTAAGAAATATTCTCTGCATTGGTATGAGGTTTCGGCCCAAAGCAAAATTATGAGAGCTTATGCTCAAAGTGGACAATATCATACCATTGTGGAGAGTCGTGTTCGTCTAATATAGTATTAGAGTCATTCCCTAAACTTAGTCGTGCCAATAAATTGGTAAATCCTCAAATATCGAACAAATGACTCCAAAAGAAAAGGAGTCAAGCTTCCTCGAAGGCAGTAAAAAAATGACTAAGACTCCAAGGGAGGTGAGCCTCGATTAAGGGGAGGCGCACTTTGTTCGAGGGGAGGTGTTAGATGATAAAAGTCTCACATCGGCTAATTTAGGAAATGATCATGGGTTTATAAACAAAGAATACTCTCTCCATTGGGATGAGTCCTTTTGGGGAAGCCCAAAGCAAAGCAAAGGCACGAGAGCTTAGCTCAAAGTGGACAATATCATACTATTGTGGAGAATCGTATTTGTCTAACAGAAAAATGTATAATACTATTAAAGTAATATAATTTTATATTAATTATCGGTCACACGTTAATATCATTTAAAGTTAAATAAATTTTATAAATAGAAACTTATATACGAATATGGTGGAAGTTTGCTTTTGTAATATTATTATAAAATTTTATTTCTTTGATCTACATGACATTGTTCTAGATTAAACTCAAATCCAACAACAACACGTGTTCGATTGCTTATCAAGTATCAATGTTTTAACATTTTTTATTTAAATTGTATTTTGTTTCAAATTTATTTCAATTTAGTTATTCATTTTCTAAAATGCTTTTTTAAATAAAATAGCTTTTCTAGACTATCAATTATTATGATATTTATTTAATTCTAATATTCAATTAACAAACAGTAGAGGGGTATTATTTTATGAAACTCGGAAAGGAAAAAATAAAAAATAAAAGAGGAACAATAATATCTCACGCCCGGTGGGACTCGAACCCACAATCGCCTGATTAGAAGTCAGGCGCCTTATCCATTAGGCCACGAGCGCTTATTTATGAACGGAATCTTACAAAATATTAGATATACTCTAAAGATTTGAACTAGGAAAATGAGGTAAAAAATTGGCCTATGCAGGTTTCGAACCTGCGACCTTCGCGTTATTAGCACGACGCTCTAACCAACTGAGCTAATAGGCCGATTAGTAATATTATGTGACATTAAATTACTAATTATAATATTGTTTTAATTTTGAATAAAAAAAAGTGTTAAGAAATATATTGTGATGATTTGTTATAGTATGTGGCATAAATATATAACTAAAATATTGTTTTAGTTCTGAATAAAAAGTGTTAAGAAATGTATTCTAATGGCCCATGCAGGTTTCGAACCTACGACCTTCGCGTTAGAGCAATCAATCGAAATTCCATCAAAATAATTGATCTTTCTTTTTCGGTCGCGACATTTTATCAGACAATTGGTAAATGGAAATAACACAGAAATTGTTTCGAAGTAATATCGATTTTAAAAAACCACAATATTAACACAAACCCAGATCCGTACAATACAACCATATCCAAAATGAAGTACAAGCTAAAAACACAAATCAATTCAACATAAATATCGAGCACCATTCCTACTTGCTTACTGAAGAATCAAGTTCAATCGTTGAAAATACTCAACACCGAGAGAAGAAGTAAAATTGGAGAAGGCTTTGATTAGAAGGAAAGTTTAGAAGAGAATAGAAGAAGTGGAAGAAACTAAAAAGGAAGTTGAAGTTGAAGTTGAAGTTGTGAAGGTGTTTGCAACGCTTTTAGGAGACTTATGGACTCGTAAGAGAAGAATTCAAGCACTATCAGAGTAATCAAACTAAACATAAGTATTGTTGTGCGTCCCCCGGATATATACTACTTTCTCTTGATTAGAAGATCTTCTTGATGACATATAGATTTGTACGATGGAATAAACGCCCATCTTAAGTTCTTCTCGATTACTATTTCCAATTTGAGCAAATAAAGTCTGAGGTATTATACTTATTTCGAATGAGCTCGAATTGATCTAAAACGTTTTGCTTGATGTTTCGAGAAGTTTTAAAATCCAAAAAACAGAGTCGACTCCTACCCATGACGTCAATTATTATGGTGGTAGACATTTCAACCCAAATTTTGCTTGTTATGTAAAATTCTATTGGATATAAAATTTTAATAATATAGTTGTAGTGATTATATTGATTGAACTAATATGTTCGTTTAAATGATTATGAATTGACATGTGTTTGTTAGGATGGTTGTGAATCAATATGACTTGTAGATGTACGATATTTTAGTTATAGTACAAAACTTTTAAATAATTAATAAATAAATAAATAAAAGTGACAATGCTTTGGGCTTCTCAAAAAGCGTGTACGAATGGAGAGAGTATTTCTTGAACATAAACGCATGATCATTCCCTAAATTAGGAAATGTAGGACTTTCATCGTCCAACAATGGAATCTTAATTATCAATGAAACAACATAATTTTCGATCACTCACATCAGACATCACCAACAGAAAAGCCACGTGGTACATAAAATACATTTATTTAATTATTATAGTTAAATCCTAAAAAAGATTTATGTGAAGATAAAACCACGTGGAAAACGAAGAACTTACTCCTTTAATCCCCACCGTTGATCATGTGTCCTTCAATTATTCTGACAATCATCAATTAACCTTGTTAGTCCCTCACCTTTCACATTATTATTAATTTACCCCTTCTTAAATTAAATTTTGAAAAATTGGAAAAAAATTACCTTGGAATTATAGGGGGGGGGGGACCATTTCTGTCAGACCTTCACGGCGGCTTTCGTGACGGACGTGATCTTCACCGACGGACCCAACGGCAAATCGTTGACCTCGACGGAGAACGTGTCGTAACGGAGGAAGAATTCCACTACAATAACTCTGGCCATCAGCACCACCAGATTTTTCCCCGGACACATCTTGTCCTCCGGCGTCGGCTCCTCTGTCTCCCTACCGTTCGACCAGTACACATACTTCAGAAGCTTCTCCCCTTCTTCTCCGACGAACCGGTCGCCGATGAACTTCTCCGGATTCTCAAAAACCTTTCCATCTTTAGTTGCAAACGGCTGATACCCAAAAATGATCTCCCCTTTCTTTATCTTGAAAGCGGAATCGTGGCTCTGTACCACGATGTCCTCCTTCGCTTTCGCGTACTGGAACGGCACCGGCGGCTCGATCCTCAGCGCTTCGTACACGACGGACTTCAATAGACTCATCTTCTCTATTGCACTAAATGTCAATCCCCCTTCTTCCTTCACGGCGGCTCTGATTTCGTCGGCGAGATTCCGGTGAAGCTCCTCCCCAGCGGTGCCGATCCACTTCAGCAAAATCGGAAAAAGTACTTTCATTCCGCCGTACGCATTGAATCCGGCCAGAAACACTAGATTGTGACACGCTTTCTCTCTGTTTATCCCCTGTTTCTCCGCTTCGGCTAGAAACGAATCAGAGCAGGAGTAAAACGCATTGTAAAGCTTCATGTAACCACTTTTGACAAGAAAGAAAGGCAGTGGCATGGTGTGAATGACGAGATCTTCTAAAATTGAGAATATCTTCGGCAAACCAATGGAAGCCAGTGGGGCGAGCTGGAAAGCGAGCCATTTATCAAACATTCCAGGTCCATCGGCTGCCAGTTTAGAGTCAGGGGTTCCGTCGGAGAGCAGCCGGAATATGAAGTCAAACGACATGGAATCACTAATCGGGTTGAAATCAACGACCTTATTCTTCTCAGCGATTTTATCTTCAAGTTTAATAAACATCTCCGACAAGGAGCTTCGGAACAGAGGGATAAACCTGTCGTGACGAGATGCAAGAAAACAGAGGAAGAGCTTTTTCAAAACAGAGTGCTCTGTTTCCGACGGGTCCAAATAGGCGCAGGTACGAATATCGCCGGTGAAGGACAAGGAGGGCATGTAAGTTCCATCGAGAAGATTGCGTTTCTCGACCTTAGAAGTATCAAAAAGGATCTGAAAGGTGAGAGCGTCGAGAAGGACGACGACTCTGGAGTCGGAGGAGATGAAGGGGCCCGGCGGCATGTTGGCGCGGAAGACGGTGGAGCGGTATTTGGCGACTCGGGAGCGGAAGAATTCGTCTTTCCCTTGGAAGTAGAAGTAATCGTATCGGTCTTTGATTGCTCCAAGGAAGGGGAAGCCATAGCCGCCGGGAATGGGTTTCAGAGGGAGTTCAGAGGAAGAAGAAGGGGAAGCCATAGCCGCCGGTCTTCGATTGCTCCAAGGAAGGGGAAGCAATAACTTGGTTTTCTGTTCTATTGGAGATTGGAAATATTTATGGTAAATTTAAAAACACGATTATTAAAATTTGTTTTGCAAAATAATAATAATAGCAATAATAACCCGACAAAAAAAAGATAAATAAATAAATTCGTGGATCGCGTTTACATTTTTTAATATGATATTACATTTTTTTTTATTATTAAAAACATTATTTTAATGAAATTACTCGTAATCATACCCAAATATAATAATTATAGACATATATTTAGAAAATGTTAAATTAATTATAGTTTCCATTTTTTTTAAAAAAAAATTATGTTAGATACAAAAATAAAACTATGGGTATTGAGGTGGGCTTAGATTGAATCAGGTTACGGATGACAAATAGAATTGGAAGGAAAGGTTTGTGTTTTCGTTCATATTCATAACTTTAAACAGGGTATAAGCTATCAACAAATATTTACTCATAAGAAAAATATAAATTAATTAAATATTAAAAATAAAATAAAATATACTATAAATAATTTACAAAGGATA